CCTGAATCTACAGGCTGACCTTAAAAAGACTAGGATGAGAAGAATCTCAAGTGGCTGAACCAGGGGAGGAGATGCTTGGCTCAGAAGCAGAGGGAGGGACAGAAAGAATGGCCCACAGAGGAAAATGTGGCCCTCTCTCTTTCCTCTCTCATGGCACTGGGGTCTCCCATCTACCTCCCTGCTGGGAGCCCTCTTTCCCCTCCCCCCCCTTCCTCCTCCTCCTCCTCCTTCTTCTTCTTCTTCTTCTGATGGAGATCTTGTCTGTCACCCAGGCTGGAGTGCAGTGGCACTATCCTAGTTCACGGCAGCCTTGACCTCCTTGGTTCACAACAGCCATCCTCCCACCTCAGCCTCTCAAGTTGCTGGGACTGCAGGTGTAAGCCACCAGACCTGGCTAATTTTTGTATTTGTAGTAGAGACAGGCTCTTGCTATGTTACCTAGGCTGGTCTTGAACTCCTGGGCTCAAGTGATCTGCCTGCTTTGGCCTCCCCAAATGCTGAGATTACAGGCATGAGCCACTGTGACTGGCCTCTCAGTCTTTCTAACACAGCATTCCCACACCCAGATCAGGCTTGTCTCTTCTCCCACATTTCAAGGGTAGAGGCCCTGCCTCCTACTCCCCAAAGCCTTCCCCAAGCCCCACTATTCCAGGGGCTCCAAGGTGGATGTCCCTCCTGTACTTGATGCTCTGGCCCCAAAGGGATGGACCCTAGATCCCAGAGTCCCAGGCCCTAGAGCCCTCTTCCTTCCTCAACCTTCTCTTCTAGTCACAGTCTCTCCTCCCCCCGAGTCCCGTTCACTCTCCCCACCCCCATGACTCAGCTGTGGCTCCAGAAATAAACCAAGGCAGGTGCCAGGAGGCCTCTGTCGAGGAACCCCCTCCCAACAGCTGCCGTCTCAGCTGCTTGCAAGTGCCAGGGCCCCAGAGCCCCAGGCAGGCTGGCTGGGAGACTTTACAGTGGGGGAATGCTCCGCTGGCTCTGGCCCCCTCCTGGGTCTTCAGGACTCCATCCTCTTCGCAAAGGAGAGACATTTGCCACTCAGGGACCCAACTCTCCTTCCCTGTCTCCCCATTTTCACCTCTCTTCTGTCTTCTGCCTACTTTCCTCCCTCCTCCCTGGTCCCTTCCCAAGTTCTGAGTCTTTTTTTTTTTTTTGAGACGGAGTCTCGCTCTGTCGCCCAGGCTGGAGTGCAGTGGTGCGATCTCCGCTCACTGCAAGCTCCGCCTCCCGGGTTCACGCCATTCTCCTGCCTCAGCCTCCATAGTAGCTGGGACTACAGGTGCCCGCCACCACACCCGGCTAATTTTTTTGTATTTTTAGTAGAGACGGGGTTTCACCGTGTTAGCCAGGATGGTCTCGATCTCCTGACTTTGTGATCCACCCGGCTCAGCCTCCCAAAGTGCTGGGATTACAGGCGTGAGCCACCGTGCCTGGCGCAATTTCTGAGTCTTTTGGTCTCTCCAGGATTTCTTCCTTTCACTTGCCAGGAAATTATGTCAGAGAGAACTTCGGTTCACCTTGATGGAGAAACTGAGGCACAGAGCGATGTCCCTTGCCAGTGATACTAGGAATTCCTAGATGCCACTTGGGGTCTATATAACATGGGCCAGGGCAGGCAAGGTGGCTTATGCCTGTAATCCCAGCACTTTGGGAGGCTGAGGCGGGAGGATCGCTTGAGCCCAGTAGTTCGAGACCAGCTTGAACAACATGGAGAAACCTCATTCCTACAAAAACAAAAACAAAAACAAAAAGTTTCCTGCCTGGTAGCATGCGCCTTGTAGTCCCAGCTGCTGAGGAGGCTGAGGCATGAGAATCGCTTGAGCCTGGGAGGCAGAGTTTGCAGTGAGCCAAGATCGTGCCTCTGCACTACAATCTGGGCGACAAAGTGAGACCCTGTCTTAAAAAAATGAAACAAAAACCCATGGGCCAGGGGACTGTGGGCTAGCCCCCTTAAATATTCCAGTCCTGTGGTCGACAGCCTCCCCATTAGCAAGCTCTCTAAATACTAAGGAAGAAGCATCCGGGAATAAACACAGAAGCCACAAGATCCACCCACTCAGACAATTAACTAGTCTAGAGTCTCTCAGTGGGGGGAATTTCCTCACATTCTTCCTTTTCTCCTGTTTTCTTTTCTTTTTCCTTCCTTTTTTTCCTTTCTTTCCTTTCCTTCCTCATGCTCTGCCCCTGCCTCTTTCAGTTCTCCCTTCTCAGGAGGAAGTAGGCTGCTTTGCAGAATGCAGAGCGGAAGTCAGATCTCAGGAAGGACCTCCAGTCTGTGGATTGAAAGAACTTGCACAGCTGGGAGAGACAGCACCTGGGCCCTCACTCCAGGCAGAGATCTGGCTGCAGCCCCCAGGGAAAGTCCACTCACCCACGGGAGTCTGACGGGCTAAGCATTTTTGGAAGTCTTTAGGAGCTGCTGTGTCACAGCAGGGAGCCGGAACAATGGGACTCTTTCTTTCCCTGTGCAGGAGACAGGCCCACAGACAGGGCCTCACAGCTAGGACAAAGGCCCCAGTGAGGTCAGGACAGTGCTGTGGGAGTTGGGGGTGTGGGGGAGGAATGGGCAGGTAGGTGTGTGGTAGAGCAGCCTGGAAGGAAGGAAGCTGGAGGCCCTAGCAAATAAGTTGGGGCTCTCTGGAAGGCCATCTCACCAGGCTGCCAGGCCCCTCGGCAATGTTCAAGCCCCTAAATCTCACCCAGGCTGGGTCTCTTCTCTCCATACACATTCTGATCTCCTTCATTCCCAGGAAACTGAAAACTCTGCAAAGGGACCCCTGTTTAGACATGTGGGTATGAGGCTGAGAGCTTAACCACACGTCCAGGGGCTTGGCAGGGGTGAGCACATCGTTAGATTGGTGCTGTGCCCTGGAAGCAGAGGCAGACACAGATGTGGCCCCTACTCCACATCCCCAAAGATGGGGCTGACACTCTATGAGGGGCCAATTCCTCCTGCCCAAGGCCAGGATAGGACACACATACACGCACACACACACAGGGACTGGGCCAGGGGTTGGACTCTGTGCAGGACGCTGAGTCACCCGTGGACCAGCTCCGCCTTCCCCAGGAAGCCCAACAAAGCCAGGAGAGGGCTTCCGTTTCCGGGCCCCGCCAGAACACCCGGGCAGGTATCAGGGACAGGGCAGGATTCCAGCTTCAGCCTGTCTACCTCTGAAGCTCTCCTGATCAATACATCAGAGAAGATGATGGAGCCCTCCTGCCGCTCTTGGGGAGAGTCGGTGAGAATGCCTTGATGGGAAACCAAAGCCCCTTCCAGCTCACCACCATGGGCTCTCTGGGGAAATCCAATATACTATCAAACTCCACCTCAGGGGACCTCCCTTAAGAGCCCAAGGACAGACACTGCCCCTCCCCAGCCTTCTCCTCTTAAGGCCCTACTTTCAAAGGCCCACCTTGATCTTCATCCACTCAGTTCCACCTAAATCCCCTGAGAGCCCTAAAAATGCATTGACTGTACAATCACAGGGTAACACAGGATAAAGTGAGGATCTGCTCTGGCCCCAGAATCATCCTCTTCCCTATAGCTCCTTAAGAAACAGAAGTCTCTGCTCCCTAGCGACGCAGGGCTGAGTTGTGTGGGGGGCAGAAGGTGGGGCAGGTGAGGCCTGAGGTGAGGAAGGAACGTGGTGGTAGGTGGGTGTGGGAGGTCACACTGGTATATCAGAGACCAGCTGGTGTCAAGTTTAGAAATAGGGTGGGGAAGGGCCAGGAGCTAGGCAGGGATGGCCTGGGAGAGCCCCAGCTCCCACCAACACAGAGCTGTATTGAACCTGTGTCTGCCTGTCTTGCCCACTATCTCTGGGTCTCCCGGTATTACTATCAGTCTTTGTTCCTCTGGATCTGTCTCCCTGTCTCTGGATTTTACTGGCTTCAGAGAAGGAATAAGTATTGCCCTTGTGGGTGATGTGCTGTAACAAAGTGGGCACATGCAGGAGTGTGTACATACGACAGTGTGCACGTGTGTGCCTATGTGTGACTGTGTGTGCCTAACTGAGGATCTGCAGGAATGTTCTCTCATCATGAGGACAGACTGCATCCTGATATGCACTTCACCAACAATTCTGTGCACTGGGAGAAGGGTGCGCGCGCGCGCACACACACACACACACACACACACACACACACACGCGGGCGCTGGGTCACTCTCGGCAGTTCTCAGAGTGACCTCATCCTCTCAACCTCCGCTGACTCACAGCCCCCAGGGCCAGCTAAGCCTGGCCGGAAGTCCAACCCCCTACATAGCCAACCACCCCCCTTCCCCTCCCGCCTCCTCAGGACGCAAGCCCGCGGCGCCCCCTGGCGGGATCCTGGGGCTCCTCGCACCCCTCTGCCCGTCTCCTTCGGCGCACGCTTACACGGCACTCTCAGAGCGCCGCGCTGGGTCCGCAGCGCCCTCTGCTGGCCGCTGCCTGTGCCGGCCCCCAGGTCGTTCCCCGGAGCCCAGTCCGCCGCAGGGCTGGGAACCTCCCCTTGGCCTTTAGCTTGTTTCCCTATTTCTTGCATCTCTGCCTTCTCTGCTGGACGTAAACCTTCCTGCGGCCTAACCCCCAGACGTGCTGCAGTGCCAGCGGAGCTTTCCCATCACCCTCACTCTCACACTCCCACGAGGGAAGGCCCTTCCGGAAGCTCAGAACTGGGATACCAAGGCACCAACCTCTACCTTCCTCTCTGGGACCCCAGCCCTTCTCCCTCCCAGGACAGAGCTCATTGACGTCCACTTGATTCTTAGGCACTCAGGCACTCCATCTCTTTGCACACATGCTGCATCACTCCAGCTGTCCCCCAGCACCTGTGCGTTCCTTCATTCCATAAGTACTTCCTGGCAGCTATTCTGGCACTGTTCTACTTGCTGACATCTTTGGGACATCTCTGACCTTTGGAAGCGAATAAATCCCGAAGCTCTATGTATCCTACGAGGCCCTGCCCAACCTAACCTCTCTCTGTCTGTCACAGACATACACACAGAAGCGTCCAACTTGCTTGGGCTCATACACAGTTTTATTTCCTGTTGGTTTTACAGACAGTTCATCCTGCAAGCCCATTCCCTTGGAAAATCCAGAATGAGTGGGCACAGTGCTCCCCAGAGAAATGGAGGGGAGAGGATGGCTGCCAGGCAGAGGGCAGGTGAGGCACTTAGGGATTTACCCCGGCCCTGATGGAAAATCTGGTGCCCAGGGGAGGGGGAGAGGGCCTGGGCTGGGCTGGAGCCTCCCAGGTATTTCCCAGAAGCCCCTTCAGGAACTATCACCTGGACTCTAGTCATGTTGTGACATCCTGTGGTGGCAGGAGCACAGGGTATGAGGGAGAATTTGGGTGACAGGGCAGTGCTGTGGCCGGCAGTGTTCAAGGCCTTGCCCCCTAAGGACCTGGCGTGGGGCTGGAAGAGGGGATCAATAGCGCCTTCCAGCGTCCCAGCAGCCTCCCCTGACGTCCTTCTGGGTCCTTCTCTGGGTGCAGAGCTCGGGCCTGGGGAAGACAAACACTCACCCTCCACCCTGGCTGCTCCTCTCCTCAGAGCCTGCCCTCTGATGTTCTTGCTCAGCCCACGAGAGCCCGGAATGTGGCTGCATGTTATCAGACATCAGCACTGAAGGAACCCGAGAGCCTCCAGCCCACCTTTCCCCCTTTGCCTCAGAGAGGGGCAGTGACTGCTCCAAGGTCACATGGCCAGTGACAGGCAAGACTGAGAGTGGAGCCCAGGGCTACCGTTGGCTACTGTCTCCCACTCCTACCTGCCTCCTCCTGTCACTCACAGGTCTTCTGGGCACACAGGAGATCTGGGGGGTCTCCCAACGGCCGTTCTCTTGGCATCGGATCAGCGGCAGATTGCGCTGGGCCAGTCCTTCCCGGCACCGGTAGCGAAGCACTGTGTCCACCTCATAGCGCAGCCGTGGGCGGCCAAACACTTGAGCCAGGGGCAGCTCCGGTGGTGGCCCACAGGACACTGCAAAGGAAGACAGTTAGGAACTGGGAGCCTGGCTCTGTGGGTGACAGTTCCCAGAATCTCCATGGGGAAGAGAAAAATGGGCCACAACATGACAAAAAAAATTAGGGATTCAGAGTGGACCCATATAACTTGTTAGCTCTCCCATGGTCTGGAACACGTTGTGACTCCTCTACGTAGCCTTGCACTCTCTGTCTACAAACATCAGTTGCCCTGGTCCCCTAACCCACCCCTCCACTTCCTTGCTGGGACCCTCCTTTGCCTGCCCTCACCCAGCCCCATCTTGCAGGTGTAGGACAGGTGGTAGTTGCAGGGCACATCACTCCATTGTCCCTGATCATGCCACACCATGACCACGCAGTTCTCTCCAGACAGGAAGTAGCTGTCAGGCTGCCCAGGGTTCCAGTTCTCATAGAGCTAGGGGGACGGAGGAGGTGGTGAGGAGCTCCTACACCAGGAGTACCGGGAGAGGGCCTAGAGGATCTGGGGAGGAGGACGGGTGTGCGGGGCCCCAAGAGAAGGAAGGCTAGGGCTAGGGAGTAGGGGACCTCCCGGGGAAGGGGAAAGGAGAGGGCAAGGACTTTAGGGGAGGGAGAATGGGAACCAGAAGGGAAGAGAGAGGACACAAGGAAGGGAGGAGAGCCCAGGGAGAAGAGGCAAAGGGCACGAGAAAGGGAAGGAGGCCGGAAAAAGAAGGGGGCAGGGTCAGGAGGGGTGGGGGCGGTAGGGAACAGAAGTGCTTAGAGGAAGTGAGCTAGACGGCGGGGGATGGGGGTCCACTGGGGCCTCTCACCAGGGGGACGCCATCCGACCACAAGAAGTCGCCTTCAATGGTCCTATCGTTGAGCCCGATCCACTGGTACTCCCGGTACCGGTCTAGGGAGACGAAGGGGTGCAGTGAGCGCCATCGCCAGCAGATGGCGACCGTTCCCCGCTCCCGGGCGGTCTGCGGTGACTGCCTGGGAAACCCTAACCCGCGATCCAGCACCCGCCCTTCCCGGGTTCTTCTACCTCCCTCCAGTCTCTGCTCAAGGGCCAGATGGAAAGCAGGGGAATAGGGGTGGGAAAATAAGGAAGATATGAATCCAGGCTAGAAAAGGGGAGTTTTGGAAAAAAGAGTAAAAATTTTTAACAAGATTGGAGTTGGAGTTGGGGGAGGCCGACGGAGGTCGGAGAGCTGAGAGGTTGGAGGGACTGGAGGCGGCCCCTTGCGCGGCGGCCCGGCCCACACAGGCGCACTCTACTGCGCGAACCTCCACTTTCCGTTCCCGAAGGCCACTGCCTAAGCGTAGGTTAGGGAAGGAGGGAGAGAGAACGAGAAGGCGAGTGAACGAGTGAGTGAGGGAATGCACGCTTGAGAAAACCAAGGAATGAGTGCATGGGTTAATGAGGAAGGCGGTTAGGCGAGTGAGAGGGAGAACGCATGGCGGGCGGGGGGTCCCTCCCACCCTGTCCCCAGCCCACTGTTGATGAAGTCCTGTTCCTCGGGCGTGCTGATGCTGGCCAGATGCGCGCCGTACATCCGGCACTGGGTCTCTGCCTCCTCCCAGCTCCTTCGTGTGGAAAAGTGTTTGTAGCAGGAACCCTGGAAGGCGTCCCAGCCCGGGTTGCAGAAGCTAAGGCCTGCGGCACAGAAGGACGGGAATCTTAGGGCACCAAAACCCAGAGGGCCAGGTCCCCCTGGAAGGGGCTGGTCTCCTTCCACTACCGCAGGCTGAGAGGGGCGGGACTAAGGGGCGAAGGGGGTTGGTGTCAAAGAGCTAGTAGAGAATGAGGGGGCTAGCATGAGCCTAGAGGGGCTCTTGGGCAGGGGCGCTGGTGTCTTTTATGAGAGACAGGGACCAGGGTGAGGGATGGAGTTCTGGGCTGAGTCTCCATCGTACCGAGCAGTGCTCTCCTCTCCAGGAGAATGGAGCCTGTCATGTATTGACCACCGATTAAATGCCAGGAGTATGCTTTGCACTGGTCTCAAATGCACCCCCTATGAGAGGCATTTTGGTTTCACTTAGATAAGAAAATTGAGGGTAGGACTCAAAGAAGTTATGCAACTTGCCTAAAACAGGGGCTCATTAATGACAAGGTCAAAACCAATGTCCTCCCTCCCCCTTCCAGAAGCAGCACGTTGTGGCAGAGTCCAGGCTTCAAACCTGTGCCCCGTCCCTCAACACTCACCAACATCGCACAGGTCCCCCCCATAGCCAGGCAGACATAGGCAGCGGATCCCTTCCTCCTCTTCCAAGCATGTCCCACCATTGTGGCAGGGGCTGGGGACACAGTCACCTGAGAGGGGGAAAGAAGTGAGGCCGGGGGAGCGAGGCAGCCCGACTCTACAGCCTGAGCCCTCCAGGAGAGGGTGCAGAGGGTCCCCCAGCCCTGGTCTCTCTGTCCTGAAAGCTATAACAGCTAAAAGTGCTCCCTAGAGACTGTCTCTGGTCACAACCCAGCCCTGAGTTCTGGGTTTCTTTCCTCTTCCCGCTCCCCACTTCAGCACTGGCTCGGCCTTGTGCAAGCCACTGTTATGGCCACCAGTGTGAGCCCAGCCCAAAAGGGACTGGGGAGAAGTGGCCAGGAGGGCCCTCAGAACCCAGACCCATGATGGAGAAAGATACTGGGCACAGAAAGTTATAGCTCTAAACTCTTATCTGGCTTCTGTGTGACATTGGGCAGGTCATTTTCCTTCTTTAGGCTTGGAGTTTAGCCCCACACCCCCTTGCCTTTGTGCCAGGTCCCAGCACAGTTCTGTATAGTGCAGGTGGAATGAATGGAAGTGAAGGAGGGAACAGAAGGATTACCATAGCAACAGTAGAGGGTGGTCTCCCTTGACTGCTCCTGAGACCTGATATTGGTGTGGTCCAGGTGAATACTAACCATTCTTCCTGCTGTCCACTGGGCAGTCAGCCAGCCCCAGAAGTTGTTAGTGGAGATCCAGCCCACTTTCCTCACTCTAGGCCCTGCCCTTTCTCCCCCAGCTTAGGAACTAAGTTGCAGCAGCTCCCATTGTCCTGCAGTGCTGACTGGCCTCATACATGCAGCTTTCTCTCAACATCACCCAACCTCTCACCTCCCCTTCTTATATCCACAGACTCTTCCACTTACCAGTCTCCCTCTCCCAACTCCACTTTGGGCCTTCTGCAGGTTCTCCAACCTAGAATCCATCTCACTCCTTCCTTCTGGCTTCCTCTCCTCCAGGCAGTCCTCTTAGACTAACACACTACCCTGAAGGTCTGCAATCTGTTGCCTGGCTCTAGCTCCATCTGGCTAAGCCATCTGCTTTACTGGACTTTTTTTCTATGGATCCTGGGGTAGGATGTGGCTGTGCTTAAGATGTGCTTGGGTGCTATAGGAGCTGTCAGTTTCCAATTCTTTCTGGTTCAGATGACCCAGGGGAAGATGGCTCCACAGAACAACTGTGTAGGTCATGGCCCTCAGCGATGGTAAGGTCAAGGCCCTCAGCCATGGGAGGCAAAACCACTCCAGGGCAGAACCCTTCAGACTTTACCATCCACCTCTAGAAGCCATGGCCAAGGCCCACAATGCTTCACGCTGGCCTGGCCACAGATCCCACTGCCTGGTGAGAATCAGTAGGGGTGGAGAGAGGAGAAGCTGGAGTCGATTCAAAGAATTTTGCTGGGATGACCTATCTGTTTTGGGTGAAATGAATCAGCTTTTCCAGCACCACTCCTCCTGTCATCTTCCCTCCTGCCAATAGTTTCTTCCCAGCTGGTAGGGCTGCCCACCTCCCAACCCCAGAGGAAGAGGTATTTCATTTAACCCATTAAGCACCAGGCCCCACAGAGGGTAGAATCCTGAACTTCCTCCCATTCCTCACACTTTCCTGTCCCTCCTATTGTCCTTTCTGCTCCTTCCCATTCAACCCTCCAACCCTGGGGGACAGAGGTTCTCAAACTTTGTCTTTGGTCCCCTACCCAGGCCATGGGTCCCTCCCCTTGGCTGTGGACTACAGAACCTGAACCCAGCACAGGCAGAGTCAAGTGAAGAATGCTTCTTCTTGTCATCTTCCCTCTCCCTTTTTGGGGACAAGTACTCTGCACAACCAGAAAGTTTTCCCTTCCTTTCCATTGAAACAGCAGTCAAGGAGACCTCCCACTTACCCTCCAGGTGGGGGAACTAAGATACTGTAGATACCTCCAGTTGTGCTCCTTTTCCCGCCAAACCCCCTCCCTATTCCCCACAGGGCTGAACTCCAAGGCCAATTGTGCAGGGACCTAACAGTTGACATGGGTAAGCCTGGGTGGGACACAGGATGTGATCCATCTAAGACAGGGGTCCTAGGGTTGAGGGAATCCCAGCCTTTCCCAGGGACTTCCACTGGGAATCTTAGCCTTCCTGAGTAGGGAGGGCTTCTCTCAGACCCCAGAACCTGACTCCTTCCTTCACACTCTCCATCACTTGCTCTTCAATCTGTGTCTTCTCCAGCATTAGGTACTTTGAGACCCTTTGGGTTTGGGGAGGGTGAAGCCATTCCTTCTGGAGAGTAGGGAATGGTCATTAGTGCAGGAGTTAGTGGAGAAGAGGAAAGCTGTAGGTAGTGGGATGAGCATTAGACACCACCCCCTGCTGAGATGCAGGGCTAGGGGATGGGGGTGAAGGCACCTGAATGCCAGGGAACTGCCTCTATGCTGAGAGACCCTCAGTTCCCTCAGTTACTATGACTCTTGGCACCACCAAGATGGACTGGAAGTGAATATAAATGCACAACCCATGCACCCTGGGCTGCAGGGGTTTCTCCTCATCAGGAGTGAGGGACTGCAACTCCCAGCACTGCCTCAGACTATGGATGATGACTTCTCCAGGAGTAATGTGTACAGTCACATTTTGGAATTTCAGCAGCCAGGAAGGAAAGTGTAGACGGGCCTGAGAAGGAGAGGCTGGGGGAACAATGAGGGCTGTTAGACTGCCAGGACAGACAAATGGAGAAGCTGAAAATGAAAAAGGAAGAGAGGCCAAGACACACACACACAGAGGGAGAGACATGGAGCCAGAGAAGAAGCATCCAAGTGCTCCTCATGACACAGACCCATGGAATGAGAGGGATGGACAGCAGGAGATGGAGACAGAGGGTACCAGAGCTTGGTTACAAAGCGGTTTAATAGAGATTTATTTCCAAGGCTTGTTTTCCATGAAACAGTCAAAAAATACTTCACAGAAGTAGTTGCTTAAGGCTCTGTGGGGGTACGGGTTCTCCTGGACTCCAGAGGTTGGGGGATGGGGAAGGGACTCCCAGGCTTCCCTGAGATCAATGGGAGGCAGCTAAAGGGGACGGCACACAGGAGGAGGAAGGGAGTAGCGGAAAATAGGCTGAGCCCTGAAGACTGCAATAGGTGATGAAGACCCCTGGAGAGGCCTGAGGATGCTCTGTGGGACTGGTGAGATGTGAGCCACAGGTGGAGGGCCCAATGGCAAGGAAGGGTCACAGATGGTCAGTGGCAGGGCTGGGGTCACAGGGTGAAGACTCGGAGAGCTGGGATGGAAGTCACAAGGTGGGTATCCGAGATTGGAGACCCATAGGTAAAGGTGGGTAAGAGAATGAAGGCAAAGGACAGGAGAGTTTGGGATGATGGTGGGTTAAAGGACTACAGGTCAGGTGACCCAGAGTTGCAGGGGGAGGAAAAGGAGTAGGGTAGAGAGGGCAGTTGAGCCTTGGGCAGAATTACCTGATGCGGGGACCACGGCCACTCCACCTCGGCTGGCGCTGTCAGTGGGCAGCACTGGCTGGGCCTGCACTGAGGTCCCTGCCGGGGCAGTTCTTCCAGAATTATCTTCAGAGGGGGCCTCCAGCTCCCTGGTACCCTCAGGGGCCCGTGTGGCTGGAAGCAGGGAAGGGGCACCCTCAGAGCTTCCTGTCTCCTCGCTCTCTCCTCGAGGGACCCCAGATAGCTCAGGACCACCGGTTTCCTCCCCCGCCTCTCTTGCCCCAGCCAGAGTGGAAGGTGATGGGGATGCTAGGTTCCTCTCCCTGGGAGAGGGCAGAGTCTCAGTAGGTGGTCCATGGACCCTTGGAGGCCTGGGAGTTTCTGACTCTCCATCAGGAAGTGGTGATACACCAGGCTGCAAGACTGCTCTTGCTGGCGCCTGAGAGAGTGACTCCTGGGCTGCTGGCTCAGTGGGGAGAGAGACCTCAGGGCCCGGGCTGTTGAACTCGCTGGGCCATGCCCACAGAGCCTCATCCTCCACCTCTTCCTCCTCTTCTTCTTCCTCTTTCTCTTCTTCATCTTCATATTTCTCTTCTTCCTCCAATGCCTTGCCTTCCTCTTCTGAGAACACCGTGGGCGGGACCATGGATTGAGTTTCAAATTCTAAGCAAAGCACAAACGGTTCAGCACCAGGGACAGCGCCCGCCCGAGGACCGAAAGAAAAAAGGGAAGGGGAGAAAAGTGGGGCTGGGGAGGGTGAACCCCGGGGAATAGGGAAGAGCCCGCCCTGAGGACGGGTGATCCTTGCTCCACACTGGAAGAACTTGACCCCAGCTACGTTGTTGAGGCAACACTTGAGAAGGCTCTGTGAGCCATCATTAGCCCCGGAGAACATGATCATTGCATCTCCCTCCTACTCTGTCAAAACTCTAGTCTGTTTTGGGTGTGTGAGGTGGAAGAGGGACCAAAGAAGGGAGGCCACGCCTTTCCAGGGCGCGGCTCCTTGGTGCAAGCATCTCTAGCTCCATAGAGTTGGGGGTGGAATTTACTGGAAAAACAAAGGTTGGGAGAGGGACAGGAAAGGTGCCCTGCACCCCTGAGCTGCTGAGCAAGGACAGGGCAGAGTCATGCCATCCATGACGTGAGCATCAACCTAGGCTTGCCTCTTCTGCCCCCAACTTCTTTCAATCAAGACGTCCTTAGGATAAGGGATTTGAGTTACCTGGGACTGTCCTAGGGGCCTCTGCTGGGTCTTCTGGAGTGGAGCTTCCACCTCCTCCGTCTTCCATGATGGGGATGGAGTAGATGGCCCCACGGGATTCGCTCTCCATAGCTTCCTGAGGCAGCTGCAGTTCCTCCAGGGTCTCTGTCACTGTGACGATGGCCTCTAGTCCATCAGAGGCTGGGTCGGAAGCTGGGTTGGAGGCCTCAGGAATGGCAGAAGGCTGGGCTGAGTCTGTGGCAGGAGGAAAGTATTGATGCGAGGCTGAATAGGTAGCTCTGCCCTCCCAGGTCACAACCTGCACCAGGGAATTCTCTCAATTCTCTCACATCTTCCCAGTGGAGCACCTACTGGGGCGCAGGGAGCATCCCAGAACTTCATCACTCATTTCTCAAGCATTCATCAAGTGCCTACTGTGTGTCATGCCAGGCATTCTCCTGGGCACTGAGGATACAGTGTAGAACGAAACAGCAAACCTCCTACCCTCAAGGGAAATTATATTCTAGAACAGACGACAAACAAACATATATTATAATGTTACAAGATAAAGAACACTTGAGCAGAGTCAGAAGATAGAATGATGGAAAGTACTACTTTGGAGTGGTCAGGAAAGGCTCAAGTGAGAGATATTCCCTAGGGGGAGGGGCTGGAGCCAGCAAGATGGATGAAACAGCTTTAGTACTTTGGGATCTTGGGCTTGGGGCAAGGTGTGAGGGGTCCCAGCCATCCCCAAATTCTTTTATTTTTTAGACAGAGTCTCGTTCTGTCACCCAGGCTGGAGTGCAGTGGCACAATCCCGGCTCACTGCAACCTCTGCCTCCTGGATTCAAGTGACTCTCCTGTCTCAGCCTCCCAAGTAGCTGGAACTACAGGCATGCGCCACCACTACTGGCTAATTTTTGTATTTTTAGTAGAGACAGGGTTTCACCATGTTTGCCAGGCTGATCTTGAACTCCTGGCCTCAAGTGGTCCACCCACCTTGGCTTCCCAAAGTGCTGGGATTACAGGCGTGAGCCACTGCACCCAGCCTCCAAAATTCTTGAAATAGGAGGGGAGAGGCTTGTCATTTCATCAGGATAGCTGGAGGGCAGAATGCAGGAATAACTTCAGGCACTACCTGAAGATCTCAGTGGTGGGGCAAGTAGGCTAGGGAAAGGGCCACCTCCTTCTGGGACCTACTCCCTTCAAATAACCAGAAGTTTAGAATGGTTTACTTGTCCTCTGGGGAAGGGAGCCAAGAGCAGAACACCAATGAAGTGAAGGTGGAATTGGGCTAAGAAAAGCCCTGAAGGCCGTCTGTGCTCAGCCAGGCAAGACAGGACAGTGAGTCCCTGCCCTTATCACCTGCTCCAGTGAGCCTTACTCCTCACCAGACCTTGTGTCCTTGCTGCCTCTGTCGTCCACCAATTGTGTCCCAACTGTAGTCATATTCCCGCTCCCCTGACCCTCCTCATGATCCAGGCCATTTCTTTCCAAAACAGTGCTTGGCTTGGCACACAATCATAGCCAGTACACAGAAGTTTTAGCTATTACTACTACTACTACTACTACTACTACTACTATTACCCCTGTTCCAGGAGATCTTTTCAGATGGACCTGTCTTCCTATGGACTTTTACTTGCCCACCCCTCCCCAGCCCCCAGCCAGATATGTCCACAGATCTGTCCCAATGGTAGTAATGCTTTTCTCTCAGTCTCTCCTCATCCCGGGAGTGAAGCATCTTGTCTTCCCTTTGACTGGGGGTTCCCATGGCAAAAGCTGTGTCTTCATCCTTCAGACCAAGTGCTCCCTTAGGGTGAAGGCTGTGTCTGCTCCTTCCGTTTCTGCTTCCAGCTCTTGTAACAGCATTTCAGGCTTACAACTGGGGAAGGACCCAGACACCCCATGGCAATGCCTGTCTTATTGTCAGTTACCCTTGGCCTCGGCCTTTTGCCTCTGAGGGTCCCAGAAACTGCCTCCCCCTCAGCTCCCAACATAAGATATGGGCAGGTTTGGGTGCAGTGGCTCACACCTATAAATCCCAGCACTTCAGGAGTCCAAGGTAGGCAGATTGCTTGAGCCCAGGAGTTCAAGACCAGCCTGGGCATGTGGCGAAACTCCATCTCTACAAAAATTTGCTAGACATGGTGGCATAAATCTGTGGTCCCCCCTACTCCAGAGGTTGACATGGAAGGATCCCTTGAGCCCAGGGAGGTTGAGGCTACAGTGAACCATGATCGCACCACTGCACTCCAGCCTGGGGAACAGAGTGAGACCCTGTCTCAAAAAAACCCGAAAACAAACCATAAGACGTGGGCAGAAAGCTATCTCTATTCCCAACTGTGCTTAAGGTCCTGCTCCCTTTAGGGGGAATTGAGTCCATCCACCAGTATTTGGTAGTTAAAGATCTGACACTTTCTTAAGCTGTAGTTTCTGGAAATCCTCCAGAGGGCTCCTGAGGGCATTTGGTTGTTGACCGGAAGAACTTGAGCAGATTACTCATTGAATTCACAGAATGTTGGTCAACTCTGCTCTGCCAATAAGCTGGCAGGAAATGGGAGCTTATTCAGCAGCCCAGCTGGAGCAAACAACGCATGGACTACTGGTGGGAAGGCAGATAAGGAGAGGCCAAAAGGTGAGCACTCCTTGGGCCAAACAGCTGACAGACACCACACCAGAGGGCATGCCCAGATTTAGAACCCTAGATGACAAGCTGGATTTCACCCACGACCCCTTCAGGCAAATGGCAAAGCCCTGAGCTAAACTGATCAGACTAGGGTAGGATTTTTAGGGCTCAACTTTGCCTTTCTGAGATTGGTCTCAGCTTCTGCAGGGAGGTGGGCTCACCTCGGAAGCAGTAGACGTTGAAGCGGCTGTGCTTATTGGGGAAGCCAGTCTGGTTGGGGAAGAGGAAGAGAGTCTTGACACCAGGCAAGCCCCCACCACAGCGCTGGCTGGGTGTGACAATGGGGTAGCGCACACTGCCATCAGCCAGCCACCCTGGGCTGCAGCGGTCCAGGCCACCGTCCCAGGCGGCATACAGCTGGCCCGTGGTGGCAATCTCTGCACCCCGCTCCTGGCAGTACGCCCGTGCTTCCTCCAATGTCAGCTTTTCTGGAGGATCACCCAGGAACAGTTCTCCTAGGTGGAGAAGAGAAGACTGGGTTACCAGGCAGCTGGTAGCTCCTTCCACTCTGGTCTCCCATGGGAACCCTGGGCAAGCTTCTCCAGTTCCCTCATCTGTGGCAGGGAGTCAACTACTCTAGGATCAAAATCAGAATAGAACCTCAAGATGGACATTAGAGCTCAAAGAGATGGAGCCCAGACTTCTCATTCTGCAAAGCCATGCACAGAGACCACCCAGCAGGTGGTAGATGAGTTAAACTCGGTATCCTGCCACCTGGCTGAGACTTTGATCATGAGCTTGCCTCTGTGACAGTGTTTGGAGAGAAGGACACCAATTTTCTCCTTACTCCTGCTTGCACCCTTAAACTTAGGAGGGATAGTAAAGTCCTGCCGAGGCCCTGGGAGGACCTATGGGCAGCATGGGGGGTAGGAGATTGTCCCCTGGGAACTTCTCACTCCTAATCACCATTTAGGTCTTCAGCATAACAGTAGACATCATAGAGGTCATCCGGGTCCACCACACCATAGTTCCGGACCCCGGGGAAGCCATCCATGTCTCCGTAACAGGCCTCTCGTGGGGTCTGGATGGGATACCTGGGGAGGAAGGACAGAATCACTTAGTACAGATGCTTTCACCAGGGAGCCAGCCCATATTGACTCTACTGAACCCCACTGCCACCACAGTGCAGCCACTTGCTGACAGCTCGCTGTCCTCCTAGCTCTACAGGGATGCACATGCTCAGGGTCCTCACCTCCCCTCCTCAGACCAGCCTCATCCCCCAGAGGCAAAGAGCCCTGCGTGCCCAGCCTGACGCATCAGGCAGCACCCGGCAGAAGAGGGGCCATGGCCACCTCAGGGGCAAATAGAAGCCCCAGTCCACAGCCCCTGCCCACCTCACGGTCTGATCCGACAGCCAGCCAGCATCACATTGCTCATAGCCCCCAAGGTAGGCGGCATAGAGCTGCTCCGGGGTGGCGATGTGGGCTCCAATGCGGGCACAGGCTTCCTGGGCCCCAACAAAGGAGAAAGCGTAGCGGGCAGAGCCCTCTCGGTAGAGAAAGACGACCCCTGTGGGGCAGAGAGGACCCCGGAGCCAGGTGAGCACCCAGCACACTGGCCTCCCCTCACCCTCCTTGTCACTCCTCTGTACACAGGGGTAAAGTTCAATTGTGCTCACTCTACAGCATGAGGGACTTAAATTAGATGGTGGGGAGAATTTCCTCTACCTGAAGAGAGAAAGGAGGCCTGTGTCTCCTCACTCTTTTTCCAACCCAGGCTGCGCCTTCCAGCTACGTTTGCTTCCCTCTCACACTGTGGGCTCCCCGAGGGCAAGACTCCTCCCTTCCCTCCCTCCCTCCCTCTGGGAACCTCCCTGCCCTCTCACCTTTCACCTTGACCTCCACAGCGTCGCTGCTGTCATCGATGCCGTGCTGGACCTCGCAGCGATAGATGCCTGAGTCGTTGGGGCGCAGCTCGCTCAGCGCCAGGGAGACATCGGTGAGCGACGCTGGGTACGCAGGCAGTGCCACGCGGAACCGGTAGGCCTCATTCACCTTGACGCGAACTCCCCGCGCCACCAGCACCTCTGCCTCCCGGCCCCCGGACAGGAAAGTCCACTTGACCCGCGGAGATCCCAGCACGGCCCGGCGGCTCGGCGGCGGCCGCAGGTAGTGGACGTGGCAGGGGATGGTGAGGGCGCCACCAAGCACACCCTGCAGTGGCGCGTGACCGGAGATGCGCACGCGAAAGGCGCGGTCCTCTGTGAACGGGTGGAGCCGGCTAGAACTTAACACTGTAGACCCTCAGAGTCCCACCCGGTGGGCTGCAAGCCCCGATCCAGGATCCCTCCTTCCAGCCCCAGGATTCCCCGGCCCCTCTAGAACCAGGGGCCAGGGTCCTGCAGCCCTACCTCTGGGTCCTCCAGGACCATCACGGTCTCCAAACCCATCCCCCAAAGTCTCCCAGTCAATTCTGCCCCCGGATTCCTTGCCCTGCTCTCAGAGTGTTCCACTTCCTCTCCAAAATTCCTAGACCACACCCCAGGGTCCTCCAACCTCGCCCCCTGAGTCCTCCAGCCCAGTTTCCCGGTCTGCTCCCTTTAAGGCCTCCTTCAGGGTTTCTCCCAGTCCCACCCCTTTCCCACCTGCTAGCTCCAGGATCCCCTATCCTCCACCTTAGGGACCCAAAGCCTTGCACCCAGTGCCCCTCGCTAGTCCTGCCCCATGATTTCTCCAATCTACCAGAAGCTCACAGCTCAGCCTTTATTTCCAAGTGTTCCAGCCTGGACTCTTCCCCACAACCCTCCCCATTCTCTCTCTTTCTGGGGCCCCTAAGCCTGGAAGCAGTTGGTTAGGACTGAACAAGACAGAGATGGTGACCCCCAGTGGGGTTGCTCACCTGAGCTGTCTCCTTCCAGAACATCTGCTAAAGCTGCAGGAGCCTGGGCCAGGACCAGGGCTGCCAGCAGGGGCAGGAGTAGCTGGGCCATGCTGCAGGCTGACAGAAGGACATGAGAAAGAAAGATGGGGTTAGACTTCAAGACGGACTTCCCCCGGCTCCCTACTACACCCATGTGGGTTCACACATATCCTGGCTCCAGAAGTCCCCTACCTTCACATCACCAGGGACTCTCTGTTTCTGATCCCCATCTTCCCACCAAGGGATTCCTTCTCAGAACCAAGACCCGAGTCCTAGTCAACTCACTGTGTGACCTAAGCCAGCTCCTTACCTTCTCTGGGCCTTTATTTTCTTATTTATAAAAGAGCATCATCATTACTACCTCCATGAGTTGTAATGGAACCATGTGCTTTGAGAGTGTTTTGTATCTTAAAACTCCTGTACAAATGTATAGCACCAGGCACACAGTAGGAGCTCAGTATATAGCATGAATGGTGGGTGCTATTATACTCAGAATTCTGTCTGCTCCTCCCAGTGCCAGACTCCTTCCTTGAACCCAGAGCCTTCTCCCATAGTGCCTCTCTAGCCTTTCCTGCCTTCTAGACGGTCCCTGCCTCCATGGACATCATACTCACCTGGCCTTTTCCAGGAGGGCCTTCTAGACTGAACACAAGTAAGCACAACTTCTCTTGAGCTCACCATCTCCTCTACCTCCTCCCCACCATTATTTGTAAGGAAACTCTTCTCTTTACTCCCCGACATTCTCCATCCCCCTTCCTTGGCTGCCTCCTCCCTTCTTCTTCCCAGCCTCTCCTTTCTGCCTGGCACGGGCTTTCCCACCGGAACTCTTGGCTCAGAAATCAGTTGGGACAAAGCCCCTGTCTCTGCCAGTCTGGCCTCTGTCCAGCCCCTCCCTTCCCCCACCCTAACTTTTGTGAAAGCCTTGGGCTGGAGGGTGGACTAAGGGGGGTGAGAATAAATGGGAGGGGCTACCCCTTCCTACCCCTGGCTATCAGAAACTGTAGAACCCAGAATATTCCTCGAAGCGCTTACACTGTCATAAAAAGGATGTGGCCTGACATTGAGAAATGGAGACTCAGGCTCAGAGAAGGATAGGGCTGACCCTGGATCCCTAGCAAAGAAAAGTCAGGCACGAGGGCAATGTGCTCCCAGGAAAGAAGGCTCAGAGCTACATCATCTATAAGGGTTGGGCTAAACTTAGAAGAGCATGGAGATCCAGGTCTGCCATGGAATAGGCCAATGATGCAGCAAGAGAATTGAAGGTTAGACTATAGGCAGGACTCCTAGAAATCAGGTTTATTCCACTGGCTGTGCACTCCCATTCCAGGCCCACTGTTTATCCCCCATCTTCCCTGCCCTCTCAGCCTCTGCCTTCATACCTGCCCCTGTACTTTCCTAAGCCTGAGCTGATGGGAAATTTCCTACTTTCCCCAGATCCTCCCACCTCCCTGCCATCATAACCTCCATCTCCCCCACTGTGTCTTGGTATCATTTCCTAGGGTCAGAGTTGGGAGAGGGGTGGCACAACCAGATGTTTAGGGCCTCCCTCTGACCTTTGAGAGGGAGGAGGTTCTTGATGGGGCCAGATTAGAGGTGCTGAAACCAGCTCCAGGCATGGGGGTGCTTGAGAGGACTGTTCTGGGGCTGGAGTGGGGACCATTGGGCATGAGCAGCCAGTGCCCACCGGGTGCTGGGAAGACTGTTTGCCATGCATCTGAGCTGTGCCAAGGCCTGGGCCCGGCCCCCTTCTGGCGCCCTCCCTCCCTTCTCTCTGGGCTGGAGCTGGAGTTGGAGCTGCTCACAGACCTGGCTCCCATCTCTCTGACAGGCGGCCCAGAAACCCATATAGTTGGAGTCACTTTGGGGCCAACACCCTGTACCACTCTTTCACCTCTGTTCTGACAGTGGGAGAGTGATAGAAGAGGGTCTAAGGCCAATGAGGACCTAACTGCTCTGGAACATGGAGGGCAACCTACCCTTGACCCCAAAAATGGCAGTCATTGACCAGTGACGCCAAGAGGGCAGCCCCGTGCAGTTCTCAGAGAGCTCTGTCTCTCCAGTCTCGGTCCTTAGCCTCCCAGGTGCAGCTAGGAGCCCGGAGGAAATTCAGACTTCCCCACATCTGGTACCAGCCTCGGAACCCAGGGGTCCAGGGTTCTGTGGCCTTCTCTATCCCACACACCACTCACCTCCATTTCATCTTCTCTTCCTCCAGAGCAGGCCACACCTCTCCGTCTCTAACCCGGAGAGCTCAGCAGTCATGCTGTCCCTTCCCTTGATGCCACAACATCCCCCTCTCTGTTTCTGCTCCAGCCTCTTTATCTCTGCCCTTGTTTTGAATTTCTTGAGCTGTTCAGGAAACTTTCCTCTTGTCACATCGTTTCTGTCTGATCCTGGATGTCCATCTCACTCACAGTCTTCGTAGACCCAACCCAGAGAGTTAAGACCAGGTTCTCTCTCTCTCTCTCTCTCTCTCTCTCTCTCTCTCTCTCTCTCTGTGTGTGTGTGTGTGTGTGTGTGTGTAGGCATGCACATCCACCACCTCCATGCTGAACACCCATCAGCTGGCAGCCAAGGCCTGTCCCATAGGAACTGAGCTCCAGCACTCAGCAGGGTCAGCAGGGAGGCACCAAAGAAGCCAGAGCTTTGGCTATAGCAGGAGTGAAGCTCTCTGCTACCCCCTTAGCAGCTTCATGAGGAGCAACATGAGCCTACAAGATATCAGCGGGGCCTTAGGGCCTGTAGGAGTAATTGCAATTATCATATAAATAGTCCTTTTTATTGGAAGCACAACTAATAATACTATTAGCAATGTCACCAGCCGAGCTGTTGCAGATCCCTCTCGTATAGAGTCTGAAATGTGGATGATGCTGTCATAAATAGCAAAGTTAGCCATAACAACATAGGCATTGGTAATACTGTGGGTGGGTCTATGGGTAACACTGTTCCCTGATCTTACTGTTATCATCTGCAATCTAAGTAATGCAGATAATAATGGTGCCCCTCAGAATTGATGCCAATCTCTTGGTCCTATTAGAACCATGTAGGCAGAGCTATTCTAATAGGTGGGGGAATACAGGATATGGAAATACCTGGGAGAGGGAATTCCCAGGCCCTTGGGAATTGGACTTCCTGGCAGTGCTAGGAAGGAATGCAATAGTGGTAACGGAATTCCAACTAATAGCTGGAATATTGCTAATGTCTACCTGAGCCAGTTCTCCTAAATGCTTCCTGTGGATAGCCTCAACTGTGAGAAAAAGATTATTTATATTTTGCTCATTACAACAATGAGGAACCCGAGGTTCAGGGAAGTCAACTAACTACCCCAAGGTCACAGCAAGGAGCCGAGTTGGGATTCCAGCCGAAATGGGCACCCCGACCACCTCCTAGAGCGGCTCTGATCGGCTGTCTTGCCGGACTACAGTAAGGTGTCCCCAGAAGGGTTGCTGGCCGCTGCTCCTGGAGCTGCCTGCAGCGTGGGGAACGGAGGCAGGGACTGATCCCGACCGCTACCGCCCTGCCTGAGACAAGGTCGGAAATCTAGGGGGCCGCGCTGGGACAGGAGCGCGCAGCAGGGAAGACGCGAGGACCCTAGGGGTTGCTGATCAGACTGCGAGCAGCAGGGGGGCTGCCACTGGCAGAGCTGGAAGCGTGTAGATCAGAGATGGCAGCAGCAGCTGTGGGAGCTCGGGGCTGTCCGGCAGCCTACCCCGCTGCGGTGTCAGGAGTCGACGAGTTGGGTGCCCCAGAGCCTCGAGGCAAGGGCTGACAGGCGGGGGGCGCAGACCAGGCGGGCACTCCCTTCTCTCTGTCCCCGACCCCAGGGCGGGCGGCGGGGCTGCGGAGGCACTCACCTACCCAGGGCTGGGGTTGGGGCGCGGCACTGAGAAGTTTGTAGCCTCCTCCGGGGGTCTCCTCCGGGTCTACGTCTGGGTCCTGCAGCTGCAGCTGAGACTGCGGCGGGGACTGCGCGAGCTCAAGAAGAGGCTGGGGCCGCAGGACATTCGGAAGAGGGCGCCGGCCCTCCCGGCACCGCACAAAACCCCCTTTCTTCCCCCCGCCCCTGCCCCGCCCTCCCCGGGGCCACCCCCACCCCCTGGTCGGGAGCGCGGGGGGCTCGGGACGGTCACGGGACCCGCTGCCTTCTTTGCGTTGGCTCCCGGCGGCAGCGGCGAAAGCAAGGACGAGCGAAGTAGGACATCGTTCAGCGGATGAGAAGCCGAGGGCTTGGGGGTGGGGGGGTGGGGGCAGGAGGAGCGGGGAGGGAGCGTTCGCTGAGCTAGAGGATGACGATGTTGCAGCTGGAGAGGTGGAAGTTGGACAACCAGAGGGACTTCTCGTTGGTCAAAGAAGGAGGAGGGATTCAATTAGACTGTAGGAAGTGGATGAAGGGAGAATGGGGGCTTTGCTCCTGAAAAGAGGTACCCTTCCTAATAAAAATGGGAAGCTCTTTTCTGGAGGTAGAATGGAGTGCAAATGCCCGTAGCTACCTCCCTGGAGGCAGCTATGATTGGGCTTTGGCTCCTGTAGTGCTCCCACTCCCTGCACAGAGGAGGAGCTGACTTTGCAGCTGGAAGGATGGAGGTTAGACAGCAGAATCATGGGTTAAGCAAAGCAAGTCAGGAAATCTCTAGACCTGAGGTGGGGGTGGGGTGCGGGTGGCACTGTGAAGGGACATTACCAGTCATGCAAACCAATGTGCAAAATGCAGGCGTTGCTGGGAGCCCAGAAGGCCTACTGGCCAGGGCTGTGGATGCTGAATGTGCAGCCTGATGCCAGGGGGTGGGCCTTGAGTGCTGCCTAGCCAGGAACTCCTCAGTGCCCAGAATACCAATAACCCTCCTTTCCACCAGCTCCAGGGCCTCTCTGCTTCCCTCTCCTTTCCCAGGCTCTCTGCTTTTCCCTCCTCCCTCCTGGGACTGTAGGCAAAGCCCCTGGCATGGACAGTGGGCAGGACAGCCAGATGCCTAGATTCCCTCCCCTGGATACCAATACTGGCACCAAGGATAGCTTTGGAGGGCTTTGATCCCCATAATCTCCACAGCATCTTCAAAATACCCCAAGTAAAGTGAGGTGCGCTCAATGCAAATGCAGCCTCAAGGCAGATCCCCAGCCTTCCATCTAGACTGCACCCTAGGTCCCTCTTGGGAACTCTGGACTGCTCCCCACTGAATGTGCCAGCGCCCCCACTCACCACTGCCTGGCTTTCACTCCCAGCGCTATGGACTTGGTTTCAAAGGGCTTTGAGAAGCTCACAAATAAAACCCACTCCAAATCTTTGAGGATCTAAAGGGAAGATTCTGGCCCCTTCTCAGAGACCCATCTACTGTAGGAACAGGACAAGAAGACCTGGGGGATAGGGAGGGGTGGATGGTAAATTTCCTTACCGAGAAAAATGCAGGCTGGGTGCGGTGGCTCATGCCTATAATCCCAGCATTGGAAGGCCAAGGCGGGCGGATCACCTGAAGTCAGGAGTTCAAGACCAGCCTAGCAAACATGGTGAAACCCCATCTCTACTAAAAAAATACAAAAATTAGCCTAGTGTGGTGGTGGGCACCTGTAATCCCAGTTACTCGGGAGGCTGAGGCAGGAAGGATTGCTTGAACCTGAGAAGCGGAGGTTGCAGTGAGCCAAGATCGTACCCCTGCACTACATCCTGGGTAATAGAGCGAGACTCCGTCTCAAAAAAAGTAAAAAAAAAGAAAAAGAAAAGAAAAGAAAAATGCCCCAGAAAGGGATGCAAGACTGAAGGGAACAGAGGAAGGTGCTTGGGAGAGTCTGGGAAGGAAGGGATCTCAATCTATTTACTTCGTTAAACAAATATGAGTTGAATTGAATTCCAACTGTGGACCAGGAACTGCTCGAGGTCTGGAAATGCAGTTCCAATTCTTCTAGTAGAAAGAGGGGATCTGAGAAGGCCTTTAGGGACAGGTCTGGGCAGCCTTAGGATGTCTTTTTGCTCCCTTTAGGTGTTGCATCTCAGAGTTGCAAGAAAATTCCCTTCCTCAGGACAGTCTCAGCATGGATGCGTGTGTCCAGCCTATCTCCACGCTGGCCCTACAGGGCTTAAGGCCAGCCAGGCTGAGCCGGGCAACCAAGCGGCTGAAATTTAATCCCAGTGGTGGCTCAGATGTAACCACAGTTCTTGCCTCAGGGAAACCTGGCTGTGACCAGAGAAGGCAGAGAAAGTGACCTTCCTTACCACCTCTCCTCATGACCAGAAGGGTTGGCACTCACTTCGGTGCCCTGGGGGAGTCCACTCTTGACTGAGGCCAGCAGCACCTGGGTCTGGACAAGGGCTGGTATCAGACAGTCTGTTCCAAAAGGCAGATCCCTGGTGGGAGACCAGACGTGGTAAGAGAACAGACAGCTGCTATTGCACAAATGAGGACTCTGGCATCACAGGCACTGAGGTCAAATTCCTGTTTTGTCATTTGCAGTGGCAAACCTCAGAAAGGGCCCTGTTCCTCCTCTGAAGCTCTCTTTTCTGTTTTTTTTTTTTTTTTTTTTTTTTTTTCAGACGGAGTCTCGCTCTGTCACCCAGGCTGGAGTGCAGTGGCGCGATCTCGGCTCACTGCAAGCTCCGCCTCCTGGGTTTACGCCATTCTCCTGCCTCAGCCTCCTGAGTAGCTGGGACTACAGGCGCCTGCCACCGCGCCCGGCTAATTTTTTGTATTTTTAGTAGAGACGGGGTTTCACCGTGGTCTCGATCTCCTGACCTTGTGATCCGCCCGCCTCGGCCTCCCAAAGTGCTGGGATTACAGGCGTGAGCCACCGCGCCCGGCCAAGCTCTCTTTTCTGAACAACGGGCTGAATAATATCTACTGCACTGGGCAATATCTACTGTACCTGAACTGGGCAAGGGAAAACCCTGGCCCATGACTTGGGCTCAGCAAAATCTAGTTCTTTTCCTTTCCCAGTCACATACACATGCGCACACACCCAGCAACCTAATCTGCCCAGATCTCCTGGCCAGGAGGTCAGAGGACCACTCTCCTGGAGGGCTCATTATTTGGGATTGGAATCCTTTGCAGAGGATTTCTCAGGGGAGGAAATGAGCGCTCTGAGCCTTTTTCAACATTTCCAGCTGAGAAAATGTATACTGAAGGCTAACTTGCAGTTTGAACCAGCAATTGCTGATCAGGGACTCTCTTTACAGTTACAGACCCTTGGCCATATGCGTCTTCCCCTGTTTCTATTCACTTTCTGAGAGGAGGCAAGAACTAAGACCTCCCTCTGCCCTAGTCCTTCCAGATCTCAGAAAGAGATCCCCAGGGACTGGCTGAAAGCAAACAGAATCAATGGCAGCGGGAAGAATGAAAGTCAAATTTCAAGTAGAACCTCCTGTCTCAGTAACAGGAGAAAAATTTCTCCAGTAACCTTGAGTATCTTCTGAACACGGAAACTGAGACCCAAAGAGGTCAAGCAACTGTCCAGAGTCACACAGCATGGAATTGGCTGAACCATGACCAAAAAATCAAGTCTCCCAGGCCATCGTTCTTGCCAGGGCTCCCCAGATGTCTATCAGGGCAGAGAGAAAGAGGGAGGTGGAGAGAAGAAAGAGAGAGAGAGGGAGAGCATGGGCAGCTCTCCTCCCTCTCCCACTTGCAGCCCAGCTGGCTGCCTCCCAGTCTCCTGGGCCCTGGGGAATTTTCCAGCCTCTCTGGATGAGAACAATCAATCTCCTGCCTCCACCAGACCCCCAACATCCCCCATCCATGCCAAAGCTGAGGCCATGACCCAAGTTCAGAAAAGAGAATATCCCCTCCATGTTCCTGTACCCTGAGTTCCCCCCATCTCCAGTGTTAGCCCTGGGCCTTCCTCACTGGATTCTATTCCACAGTGGCTACTGGGAGAGCCTGTTCTGCCAACCTCTTTGAACACCTGCCTCCTTTCTCCCAGACTTGGGGTGGGGGCCTAGGCAGCTGAGTTCCTCTCCCAGGCCTTGCACAGGCATCTGGGTCTTGTGCCATGGGCATGTGGGAGTAGAGCTGAAGAGGGGGATGTGGCTCTGAATGCTGGCACAGCTGTGTTCAGAGAATGGGGGCTTTGATAGCTTCTGAAAGAGGCCAGGAAGCACAGGACCCCAGCCCAGGCGGGAGGGGGTGGGGAGCAGAAATGGCTGAGTGTGGCTCTGAGGGCTCCTGCTGCCACAGACAGGGAGTGTGGAGTGTGGAGTGTGGAGTGGGAGGGGAAGTGGGGCAGTAGGGAGACAGCAATGGGAACTACAGGCTGAACAGCATCATCAGAGAGCCCCCTGCTGCACCAGCAGGAGCCAGCATCCCCATGAGCTGGTCAGACCGTGCTTTGAGGGTTGCAAACCCATGTATTCAGAGAAGACCATCAGCTTGTTTCACAAAGAATAGTGGGAGGAATTGGAGGGCTGGAGCCCGAGTACATCTGAATCTACCTCGTGAGGTCCCACCAGAAGGCCGCCTGTAGTGCCTCTCCCAGCCTCCTATGGGGAAGGACTACTTATTTCTCTGTGATGTAGGGGCAGATACTAATCTCTCTGTGCTTCAGTTCCTTCACCTGTAAAATGGTAATAACCCCTTGTTGTATGGTTTTGATGTTGGAGCCATGTAAATGTTTTATATAATTAAAATACAAAATTAATTAGAGTTTACATTAATTTTAGATTAAATTAAAAAGAAGAAAAATAAAGCAATCCCTAAAAATATAAAACAAATTATAACAAATGTACCTAACTGTATAAGAAGTTGGAGCAAAACTACATGGAAGAATTTTCTTTCGGCCGGGCTCAAGCCTGTAATCCCAGCACTT